CATCCTCCTACCCTATTTTTCTAGTTTGGAGCCGTCCGTGTAGAATCTTTTGGCATCTCTAGACCCGGAACTCCTTAGAGCCATGATTCTCTGCTAGGTTGCGTTACGCTATAACCTTTAGTGAAAGTGAGCCTTGGTACAGAGTAGTCCGTCGTACTCGGTAGTTGTCGGTTTCTCAGAATTGTAGTGTGACCACAACGAGCCGCTTTCCAGCTTTTAAGCCCCTGTAGTCTTAGGGCTGCAAATGCAGCGTATTGTCGTCTCATAATATCTATGGGTATGATGTTAAGGATCGCATTCATTGCCATAGTAGGTGTTGTGCGGAGAGCACCACTAATGCAGATCAGGGCCGTTCTCTCCACTCTTGTAATTTAACACTGTTTACTTTCTTCTCCAGCACTGGCCACCATACCACTACCCCATACAGAAGTATGGGCCTCACCACGACGGTGTATATCCAGTGCACTAGCTTCGGGGTTAAACCCCATTTTTGGCCGATTGCTCTCCTGCAGCTGTATAGGGCAACCGTGGCCTTCCGCACCCGCTCTTCGGTGTTTTGAATCCAGCTTAATTTTTTATCCAGGACTTTCCCCAGGTATTTAGCAGATTCGCTTAATTTTAGTGTGGTCTGTGCCAGCCTTTGTGTTATCAATGGGGGATTTTGTACCTTCTTGTAAACAGTACAAGTTCTGTCTTGCTTGGGTTTACCCCTAACTTGTTATTTTTTGTCCACCTCTCGACTTCCTTCAGTTTAACCTGCATAATGTCACATAGAGTCTGTGGAAATTTCCCACTTACTGTTAGTGCAAGATCATCCGCATACGCAATAACCTTACAGCCACCCCCTCCATGCCACACAGCAGTGAGTTTACCGCGACCCATAATAGAGGGGATAGGACGCCCCCTTGCGGGGTGCCCCTCTCTACGATCCTGGTCAACGATACCACCGCCAGCTCCGCCCGAACGACCCTGCATCTCAGCATTTGGTTTACGAGCGCAACTAAGCGCGATTCGATGCCCAGGCCCGTCAGTGCTGCCGTTATCGCGCGCGGCATGATGTTGTTAAAGGCGCCCTCTATATCCAGGAACGCTCCTAGCACATATTCTTTGATGTCTAGTGATCTACTACTACACTATTTCATGTAGCGCCGTTTCTGTAGATCTACCTTTCGTATAAGCATGTAGTGTGGTAGAGAGTCCGTCACCAACCGACTCTCTGATACGGACCTCCCCCAGTATCTACGTAACCTTCAATTGAAACGACGACAAGGTGATGGGCCTGAAATCCTTTGGGTTGTTGTGAGACACCTTCCCTGCCTTGGGGATGAACACCACTCTTGACTCCCCCCACTTTCTAGGGATATGGTTAAAAGCTAATACTCCCTTAATTATAGCGTGTAGCCACGCTGAGCTTAGCTGAAGTGTTTGCTGCAGCTGTATGGGGGCAATGCCATCCTGGCCTGGTGATTTATAGGGCTTAAATGTCCCAATAGACCATATGACCTTTTCCCTAGTGCGGAAATCTCCAGTGACCGAAAGATCTCCAGTTAAATGTGGCTGTACCGGCATGCTATCCGTGGCACCCGGGAAGTTTTTGCAGAGAAGCAGATCCAGTGATTCCTCCTCGGTCTCAGTCCAGGAGCCGTCAGGTCTTTGCAAGCATCCTGGGGCTTTCTGGGCAGCACCTGAGGGTATCTTTCTGAGCCTGCCTGCCTCTGAGATAGACTCCACCCCGTTGCAGAAGTCTTTCCATGAGGTTCTTTTCGACCTTCTTAGGAGCTTCTTGTACTCTCGTAACGTTGTCTTGTAGGTCTCCCAATGTCCCTCACTACCAGACACAGTAGCCTGATTGAAGGTTTTCCTGCAGTTCTTGCGTGAAATCCTGATTTCTTCATTCCACCAGGGTGGCTTTTTGCTACCCCGGTGCTGCTTTTTGGGGCATGCAATGTCTATTGCCTTACTGCAGGCCCCCGTAAAATGGCCGACAAGATATTCCAGCTCCTCTAGGTTTGCTGGAGTAGCCGGCTCTCTATCTTGTGGCAAAAGCCTATCCAGCTCTTTCCGATACCTATGCCAGTTGGCATTTCGCAATTTTCTAGTTAGAGGAGCCTTGGGCGTTCCCCCAACTACCTCGAATTGGATATATCGGTGGTCGGGAAGTGGAAGGTGCTCGAGGAGCATTCCTTCTCAGAGATAAGGGTAACGTCCAGAACCTCCCTTCGGGATTTTGTAAAAAAAAGTGGGGTCATTCCCCCTATTTGCAATAACAAGCTTAGAGCTAAGTATGAAATTAAAAAGTGACTCACCCCGTTCGTTATCATCGGAACTGCCCCAGGTGTGATTGGGGAGCATTCGCATCACCTCTCAAAATCAGCGCCTCCCTCGTGCTGCTAGGTCTTTAACGCAGATAGTTGGCACCTCCTTGTCGTGCGCTAGGTACATGGATGCCATCTTAATTGGTCGTCCGTTTACACTTAGACTGACCGCTGTTGTGTCCTCGTCGCTAAATTGTGGAAGAAAGAGACACTTTAGTGTGATACTTATCAATATGCACGTCCTTGGTCTCCCTGTTGAGGCTCCATTTACCAGTCTGTAGCCCGGCGCTTTCAGCCCACAAACGTTTTGTCCCACCACCCAAGGTTCTTGGATTAGGGCGATGTCGGCTGCCCCTTTAGCTGTTAGATGGAGCACCAGTGCAGCTGAAGCTGCTCTACAGTGGTGAAGGTTAATCTGCAGTACCTTCACCATCTTGGCCGTTGTCGCCCACGTCGCCTGTTAGGGTGGAGTTGACTGCGTCTTCCTACGTCTTGATCAACTCCTCCTCCGTATAAAGCCGAAGCATGCGTCCGACCCCCAGCGAAGACGTCGATGAGGCATTACCCCCGGTCAGTTCGTCCATCGGTTCAACCTGCTCGGATTCCTCCTCCATCTCCACGTCGCTGTTGGCCTCTTCCGGCTCTACCTCCGCGATCAGGTTCTTCGCTGCGTTTACGTCGTTGCTGTAGACCTTAATTTTGGCCATGTCACAGCCGTAACGTATGACCCCGCTCTTTAGCTCCAGCCACTCTACGGAGTCCTTATTTAGAAGCAGGACAACCTGCATCGTCGCTTTAACGCTTTCGTTGATCTTTACCACCTTCCAATTTTCGGTAGGTAGCTCCGGGTTATAGAGCCTTATGAATTTCAGGATCCTTTCTGGCTCCGCTGGCCTGCAAGGCAGCCATGCTCTCGCTCTCGGTCGCACAGGTAAGTCCTTGAAGTCGACCGCCCTGAGCTTCGCACCAGGGTAGATTTCTGCAATACCTGCGACTGTATTCTTATAGATCTCCGCTGATCTAGCATCATCGCATGCTATAACGCGGATGTTATTTTGGAAACACCCCGCTCCCTTGCAGGTTGGCGGAGGTCCCGGATTCTCCAATATAATGTTAATGCAATGTCGATCATCGCGGCCTTAACCCACTTCCATTGCTGCCTCAGGGTGAGGCTGTCTTTATTGCTCTCATCAATGACGCCGAGCAGGATCTGCTCCTTGGCTACTTCAGCAAAAGAAGGCCCCTGCGTTCTGACCCTCTTTGCATAGTTGGGCGTATTTTCCCCCGATCTATTGCGCTTACTGGAGGGCGCCTGCGGCTGCTTCTCCTCCGGCTTGCGGTAGTCGGGCAGGACTGCCTTTGCCCAGTCGATTTCTGTGAGGATCTCCTTCACATGCTCTTCTTTCGCCTTGCTACACAGGTCAGGCGTTGTGGTGAACCTTTGCAGGATTCGAGCAGCCAGCTTCCTCTGTCGATAGCCCGCTGCAGCTGGTTCTGGCCTCGTGAAGGCCGTCTGCGCCCCAGATTCAGCCTTATCCCCGGCTGCAATCTGCATGCCAGGTTGGCATCCAGTGCTGCCAGGAGTTTCCCGGGGTGGACTCCTTTGAGCATCCCCACCGCCGCTTTCCTGCGTTTTTACGAGAGCTTGGCCCGGTTTCACCACTGGCCTTGGTTTCCCGCTAATTGTCATCGCACTACGGCTGGTGGAGGTACTCTGCATCGCTTGAGCTCCTTCTTTAGTGGGCCGAGACCCTTCCGACGCTTTAAGGGGGCCGGTCGCTTTATAATTTGTTTTTGTTTTTGTTGTTGTTTTTTGTTCATAATTGATCCCACGGGCTGCGGAGAAAGGGGTTCGTCCGCCCGGGCAGAGATCCGCGAGGCCCAGGTAAGGCCTACTTACATCCTGGGTGTGGCCGCCTCCCAGAGGGCTCTGTTCGCGACTGGGCTATTTAGGAGCCCCCAGCCTTGCCGATCCTCGGTACGGTGCGCGTGACGCCTTGATCCAGCCCCTTCAGACCTCCAAGCCACGATCAAAAACCATTTCCATATGACTACGCTATGAAGGAGTTTAGCACATAGCACCGATTCCTGATCTTAGCTGAGCACCATTCTGACATCGCACAGAATCCTCTGTAGTGCCCATTTGCCCATCAGCGGCTATAGTCGGCGTAAATGAGCTGGTTTCAATTAAATAATTAAAGCAAATGCTACACCTTTTTCTGGAACTTCGCTACATTTCCTTCTGCTTCCAAAAAAGGTCCCTGTGAGAGTGTCAAATTTTAGAAGAAAGCTACTTACAAAACCTTTAATAATTGAATCATGGTAACAAAAAAATATATTTGATAAACTGAAAATGTTGTTGACAGACAACATTAACAATTTTTTCTGAGTAACTAAGCCGAAAACATGGATTTATGCCGTTACGAGTGCTCTTCTGGGCCACAGTACATTGCATTAAAACTTTTACTTAAATTTGTTTTCAATTTTCCTCACTGTACAATAAAATCAAAGATTTTCGACATATCGGACTTATTGATGTAAGTTTATAGTAAGCTTACCACAAATATATTTTATTTATTGGGGAGCTTTGTTGTATAGCCATTAACACGCCCAGAAAATTTCGCTAACACATTTAAAAATATTTGAAGAAAGTTTTAAACCGATTTCATCGTACATTTAGTAACAGAGACAATTTGATACATGATTTTTTTGTATTTGCAGGTCTGCTTAAAAAATTATACTGGTGGTGAAATGGAAAGTGATCGACGAATTATGGTACTAAAAAAGGGAATTAGTCTTAACTATCAGCATCACTGGATCGTTGATAATATGCCTGTTACTTGGTGCTACCCCTTGGATAACGATAAACAATACTGTAGCACAGGCTTTCCTATGGGTTGTTTTGTCCGGCCAGATAGCGATGAAGCGTGCCTTGTTAACCCTAATTACAATCGTCGCGGTTTTTATTATATTTTTAATCATGTTGATTTACGTATCACATACCATGGTGATCAACCTGAAAATAGCGCCGGGTTCCGAGGAAATGGTGGCCGAATAATATCTGTTAAGATAATACCACGTTCAATTAATCACCTTAATCCTTCGAAAATAGATTGCGATAATACGGACCCACTTGCTATACAAAGTAACTCACTACGTCATGGAGAGCAGTTTTCAATTTCTTATACATATAGCGTGCAATTCAATATGGATAATTCGGTAAAATGGTCATCACGATGGGACTATATTTTAGAATCCATGCCGCACACAAATATTCAGTGGTTCTCTATCCTTAACTCTCTAATAATTGTGCTATTTCTTTCGGGAATGGTTGCAATGATAATGTTACGGACACTGCATAAGGATATTGCACGATACAATCAAATGGATAGTGGTGAAGATGCGCAGGAAGAATTCGGCTGGAAATTAGTACACGGGGATGTATTTAGGCCACCGCGGAAAGGAATGTTGCTATCAATTTTTCTTGGATCTGGCGTTCAAGTTACGTTTATGACCTTAATCACATTAGCATTTGCTTGCTTGGGGTTTCTTTCACCTGCTAATCGAGGAGCGCTTATGACTTGTGCAATGGTTTTATTTGTCTCACTGGGCACACCAGCAGGATATGTCTCAGCAAGGATTTATAAGAGTTTTGGAGGAATGAAATGGAAAAGCAATGTTATTCTTACTTCAGTAGTATGTCCTGGGTAAGATAATGCATTTATTGACATTCGGGTTTTAACTTTTTTTTTATTAGCGTGGTGTTTGGACTCTTTTTCGTAATGAACTTAGTCCTTTGGCACGAAAGCAGCTCAGGAGCGGTTCCCTTTAGCACGCTAATAGCCCTTCTAGGGCTGTGGTTTGGAGTATCAGTGCCGTTAACTTTTGTGGGAGCTTATTTGGGATTTCGAAAACGGGTAAAACCATCAACATTTTTATTGTTGTTACTATTATTATAACTATTATTATTATTAGTATTCTCTATATATTATTCTAAAACAAGGCGCTTATTCTCAGCGATCTACAAATCGTACAGAGACTGTTTGTGCGAGATTTACGCAATTTATTTGAAAAAACTGCATGCGTTCGAGTAAGCGTTGGCTTAGCTTCGTAGGCTGCGGCGTTTGTGTCTTCCAAGTTAAGAATATAATTTGGCCATGACGATTTGGTTTTGCATAGCCATGTTGGTCCATTCCACCAAATATTTAAATTTTCTAGTTCGGCAACGGTCGTGCCACGTGTTGCACAATCTGCCGGATTTTGGAGGGTACCAACGTGATGCCACTGCTTCCGTGTTGTTAACGTTAAGATTTTGCCAACTCGGTTTGCCACGAACGTTTTCCAACGGTCTTTGTCCCCACGTATCCAACAGAGGACCACAGTTGCATCTGTACAGAAGTGTATATGAACGAGAAATACATAAAAATTAGGGTAGAGAAAGGCTAAAAAAATGTATTGCAATTTTTCGATAGGAATCGAAGTAATTCAATTATAAAAAATTTAGTTATCGAAAGTTATCGCAACGTATTATTCAAATTGATCAATGTTTATTGAGTTGTCGAAATTTATAGGCACAGAAAATTGGTTGTCGAAATTTACGGATAATTATCGAGCCATAAAAATTTATGGGTTTATTGAAATGTGTCAAGTAAATGAAATTCATCAAGTTATCGAATTATGATTATTTATTGAGTTAACAAAATTTATCGAGTAATCGAGTTTCCATAGGTAAGCGAAGGTTTCTGCAGCCGAAGGTTACTGCAGCTTTATGTAAGTGCAAGCTGCGTAAGCTGAAGTTGAGCCATCGCAAAAGGTATGCAATTCGACAGAGGAAATATCTTCAGGAGCGAAGTTGATGTATCTTGGAATCGTTATTCGGTGAATAGTAGCTAAATTTTGCACAATTTTCTGCGAACGGTCACTCAGACCTGCTGGAAGTTTTTCCTCCCACTGCAAGCCCGTTGTGTAGCCGTTCGAGGGATTTACTTTTGTTGTCCACATCAGCTTAAATATCATTTTCGCTGATACTATTAGCGGAGTGATGAATCCAAGCGGATCAAATAGTCGGAGAATAGAGTCAATTTCCGATTTCATTTTAAAATGGAAAGTATCTGTTGTAGGGGTACAAAACAGACCAAGTGTCTTAATGGCTTCATTGGAATTGAGTTGAAGTGGCCTTTGTTTGGATCGATGTTCTGAGGGTATGGACTGCAGGAGGGCATCATGGTTGCTTGCCTACTTTCGGAGCTCCATTCCAGCTGATAGAAGAGCACCTTTAGGATGTTCACGGATTTTCAACGCCTCTTGTAATGAGTGACTATCTGTTTGTACATCGTCGACGTACATTTCGTGCCGTAATACCCTTTCTGCTAATGGAAATCGTTCTCTTTCATCCACGTCCATTTGATGCAGATTTGGCGCAGACGCAGTGCCAAAGGGGACTGTTGTCAAACAAAATTCTTAAATGTGACCATTGTCAGGTCTCCATAGAATTCGCTGGTATTGAGCATCATCAGAGTGCATACGAATGCAGCGATACATTTTCTGAATGCCTGCTGTAAACACATATTTGTGGGTTCTCCAATTTAGTATGACGGCTGATAAGTAATTAAGTAATGGCGGTCCCACACAAAGTAAATCGTTTAGCGATTTGCCCTTTGTGTCTTCGATGAGGTTTCATAAACAACGCGCAACTTCGTGGAGGAACTTTCCGCTTTTATGACTGCGTGGTGTGGTAGGACGCAAGACGTGAGGGTCGGTTTGTCTGTGGATGAGATGACTTGATGATGGTCTTCTGATCCCAGTGTGTACGAATCGGTACAAATATCTCTAAACTTGAGCCGGTTTCCTCGGGGGTTCCTCAAGGTTCAGTCCTTGGTCCTCTTCTATTCAGGTTGTTCATAAACGATGTTTTTCTTACATGTAAATTTGCAAATATTCATGCCTATGCGGATGATATTCATATATATCTATCTAATAACTTAAGAAATATCGATGTATTAGTAAGCCAACTTATGGGTCGATTACGGATGGCAACACAACCACGCTTCGGTTGTCAGCTGGCAATGCAACTGGAAAGAAAATTTGTATTACGAATGGCAACTATCGTCAGTTGCTGTAGAGTTATCGATAATCGAAATTTGACAGTTCAACAACCAGCAAGCGGCTGCAAACAAGCTGTGCGAGTAAAATTAAATTATTAAAATAAAGAGTTTTAAAGAAAAGACAGAAATAAAGCTAAATTTATCACAATTTATTTGTTTAGGAGGAAGAGAAATGCATGAACGCGTTCTCAATCAGGCGACACTTAAAGGATAATTCCAATCCTCTAGAGCTAACGCGTGTACTACAAGCAAAAGTTAATGGTTTCTTTTGTTATCGTTTTGTGTTCATTTTCAAAGCATATTGAGGACTTCCAAAAGAAGCTGTAGTATAATTGGTTAATAAACACATGAACCACTTCGTTCAACTTCAATACCTCCGCTCATAAAAGCTTGCGCACGTCTTCGATTTTTCGCAGAAGGAAGTGCCACAGCAATGACTTTAATTTGGAAAACTGGGTGTGTCCGTAGTTTAAAAGAGGTGCTTCAATTGATAAAGGAAAAAAATTGCAATCAGTGTTCGCTTTTGTTTCGCCAAAAGGGCGTTGTTCCCGGGAACTAAAATTTCAAGATATTGGTTTGTTATTTTCACCATATTCTGTAAAAGCAAACTGCATTGCAAAATGTTAATATCGTTCAAATTATTAAATATATGACACACTTTTCAATTTTCGCTCCTAAATACATTCCAAAAATATTCCCAGCAACCACTAAAATGTAGTCGCCTGTATACACATTATGTAGCAACTGCAGTTGTCAGTTGAAAGTTGCCAGTTGCCATCTGTAATATCGTTTTGGCAACTAGCAACGCAACTGAAGTTCGATTGCTATCGATAATCTACCCATTAATTGTAACCTGGCTGCCATTGAGCAATGGTCTAAGGATAATAATCTTCTCCTGAACTCTAGTAAGTCATATGTATTACCAATTGCAAAGAAGAAGCTTAATACTACTGCCATACCTCATTTAGTTATTGGTAATAAACCATTACAACTTGTAAGTAAAATCACTAATTTGGGCTTTATAATTAACTCGTCTTTGACCTGCACTGATCACATAAATTCGGTAGTTAGTAAAGTTTATGGTACTCTACGAAATCTACGCCAAAGTGCAATATTTACGCCCATTACTACTAGGCGTAGGCTTGCACTTCAATTGATAATACCATTAATGACCTATTCTGAGCTGGTTTACAATAAATTGGACTCGGTTTCAGCTCATAAGTTATCTGTACTATCCAGTCATGTCACTCGGTACGTTTACGGCCTAAGAAAATTTGACCACATTTCGAAGTGGAGAACGAGTTTGCTGGGATGTGAAATACATGCTTACCAAACGGCCCGGAGCTGTATATTTCTTTACCGGCTAATCACTACCAAGTCGCCTTCTTATCTTTATGACAAGCTGATATTCCCAAAATCTGAGCGCACCAAAGATCTTATTGTACCCAATTTCAATTTCGCAGCATCGACTAGACTGTTTTTCATAAATATTATTAGAAGTTGGAACTCCATTCCGACTGCACTAAGAGGCAAGTTAAATAAAAGCAATTATAAAACTCTCATATATTCACACTTCTATAATAACCCAAGCAGGCCATCAGAATTGAAATTAGTATAGTTTGGAATTAAGAATTATCCATTATTTACTTATTTATTTATTTGTTTTTTTTTGTCCTGTGTAATCTCTAATGTATTCTATGTCCTCTTCATGTGTACCAAATTTTGTTGTACTAAAAAAGAACACAATTCTTATTGTACTAATGTAACTCTTTGTTGATAAATAAATTCAAATTCAGTGGAAAGTGCTGGGGTTATTTGCTGGAGGTAGAAGTAATCCTCAATGGCGCTGGAATAACCGTGGCGAAATTCCGAATTAGCAGTTAGACGACGCTCGAGCTGATAATAACGATTTAAAGCCATTTGCCTTGATCGACTTAAAGTCTGATTTAGATCAAAAATAGATTTTAAGGGTAATCTTACCATATACGTGCCATCTTCTAGACGGGTATGAGGACGTTGGAAGAACTCTTCACACCATTGGTCCTCGTCAGAGTATTCGTTGAGATGGTACTTGTTCAAGCCCGTAAAAAAGCTTTACAAGCTTCTCCAATTCAAGTGTGGAATGACAGCAGCAAAATTTTGTTGATTTTGCGTACGGTTGAGCTATACTACCGGAGAGAATCTAAACCAGTTTAGTATTTTGTGCGATCGGTTGGCAATGAAAGCCCCGCCGCACTCCTGGTAAAATGATTGGTCGAATAGATAGACACCAATAAGCAAATCAACTTTGCTGGATTTGTGGTATGAAGGGTCTGCCAGAGGAAGGCCATGCAGATGTGGCCACGATTGAGGCACTATGATATTTGTTGGCAAACAAGACGTTATTGAATTTAAAATATAAGCAACATCGACTAAAGTGCTGAATTTGCGATTCGTAAGTGAGCGCAGATTGAAGCAAACCGTGCCACGGCAATAGTTGCTTGAGTGATTACCCACGCCAAGAATTTCGATTGCGTTTGGATTTTTCTTTAACCGTAGAGTTTGATCGGTGTTTTCGGAGATTATGGTTCCCTCGGAACATTGCTCCAATAAAGCTCTCACCACTGTAAACTCACCGGTTTCGACGTTTTGTAATTCGACAAGTGCAGTTCCAACAACACCTTGCGTTGAGGGCTGCAATTGGTTCGCGATTGTATATTGGCTATGGTTACCGAATGGGTGGCGAATACATTTTCTGAATTCGTTCGCCGCAGTATTGCCGGAGTTGCAACGCACAGCGGGACACCCGAATATAAGCTGCGGCCAAAAGTAGT